TAGGTTCCCAATGTTTTTGTGTGCCTCCTCGGTGGTTTGGAGCAATCACAGTCTGTCTCTCAGAACCATGAATGTTCTTCCTTAGAAGAGAAAATCTTCACAGCAATTTCTCCCCACCAATTCTCTTGCCAAACTTTTCCAAACTGACCTTTGCCAAAGCTTTCTTTTAACATGATGGTCCTGGCAATTGTTCTCTGAACAAGCAGCAGTAAACCCTTCGTCCCAGGTAGCAGCATCACCAACACGATGAGTAGCAGCTGGCAACTTGGAGCAGCAGCCGCTGCCTCCATAGTCCCACCACTGTTTGTGGCTTGGTCCTGGCTGAAGCTTCTCCTTAGCAAGCCTCATAGGCCGGCCTCAAACTTGGGGTCCTCCTGCCTCTGCCTCCTTCAGTAGATCCAACCAGTGTGCCACCACAACAGGCAATGTGTAGCTTGGGCCTGAGCTGCAGCACTCAAGGCCACAGGCAAGTAGCTTTTTTGTGAATTCGTGCCACAAGCAGAGAAGAGAATTCTAGGAACAGGAAGGCTGAGTCAGAAGACATTCCCAGCCAGGCCATGAGTACCAACATGTAAGATACTGGCCCCGAAGAGAAAACTCCAGCTTAAAAAAAAAAAAAAAAAAACAGAAAAGGGGAAGTGCTGTGGGATGTCCTTTTTGTTGTGAATAAATAAAACTCTGATTGGCCAGTAGCCAGGCAGGAAGGATAGGGTAGGTGGGACAAGGAGGAGTTAAATTCTGGGAAGTGGAAGGCTGAGGCAGAGAGATGTTGCCAGCTGCCTCCATGACAATCGAGCTGTAAGGTACTGGTAAGACATGAGCCATGTGACAACTTATAGACTAAGAGAAATGGGTTAATTTAAGATATAAGAACAGATAGCAGCCGGGCGGTGGTGGCGCATGCCTTTAATCCCAGCACTCGGGAGGCAGAGGCAGGCGGATCTCTGTGAGTTCAAGGCCAGCCTGGGCTACCAAGTGAGTTCCAGGAAAGGCACAAAGCTACACAGAGAAACCCTGTCTTGAAAAACAAAACAAAACAAAAACAAAAACAAAAAAAGAACAGATAGCAAGAAGCCTGCTATGGCCATACAGTTTATAAGTAATATAAGTCTCTGTATGTTTACTTGGTTGGGTCTGAGTGGCTTTGGGACTGGCAGGTGAGAGAGATTTGTCCTGACTAAGGGCCAGGCAAGACCAGGAAAACTATAGCTACAGTCATGTTGTAGCTCAGGTGGTTGAGATTAATCAAACGGAAAAAGAAAACAATATGGACACATATAGGAGATAAAAATGAATGAAATACAAATGCTTCAGAAAAGAGCATCTATAAATGATTTACCAATTCAAATATGTGTACTCATGGTGGTTTCACTAACAAGGAAAGGAAATTCAAGAAAAAAGATTTGGGGAGAAAAATTAATCTCTTTTTTATAGCTTACAGAAAAATAATTCACTCCTTAGTTGAATCTATAGATTTTTAAAACCAGTAGAGAATTTAGAGCCAGGTATATGATTTACAAGTAATTGGTGCTGACATCAATCAAGCAGAAGATTGGATCTACACGTTTTATATGTCTGAGACTGGGATATTGGAGGAGGCTCCTTCGAGTCTTCTGAGTAGAAGAATATGGAAAAACTGTGATATGGGGTGATGGTGAAACAGATATTACATCTACAACACCAACTATAAAATTTACTTTTGAATCTGCCTCATTTATTAAGCAAGAAGTAAATCAGGGGAAAGTAATTTAAGGAAAATTAAGCTGACTACAAATTATTTATGACATTTTGAGTTTAAACAAGGCAGTCCCAAAGAGTCTCCTAAAAAAAACTCCACTCTCACTTCTGGTCTCCAAAAATATAACGCAATTAATTTTTGCTTCATTTGAGTTTTTAAATATGTTTTTGAACATTTTTATGTGTGTGTGCGTGGTTACATTAGTTTATTGTGTAGCAAGAATTCAAAGAAGTCAGAGGGCACCAGATCCCCTGCAGTTGGAGTTGAAAGTAGGGTAGTTTTGAATCTCCTGATGTAGGTGCTCCAAACTAAATCTGGGTCTTTGGCATGAGCAGAAGATGGTCTTCAATACAACTGTGTTCTAAAACAGCAAGTTTGTCATAGCAGACATAGAAAACAAACACCCACATTATTGAAAGACGAGAGAGAGAGAGAGAGAGAGAGAGAGAGAGAGAGAGAGAGAGAGAGAGAGAGAGAGAGAGAGAGAGAGAGAGAGAGAGAGAGAGACAGAGACAGAGAGACAGAGACAGACAGAGAGACAGAGACAGAGAATCTGCAAATATTCCAACTCTGTGGTCCTTAAATACAGACACTGTATTTTGTGTATCTTCTTTTTTAAGAAAATATTTATTTATTTTATGTGTATGTGTGAGTGCCTGTATGTATGTAGGTGTACCACATGTGTGCCTGGTGCCAGTGGAGGCCATAAGAGGGTGTCAGATCTCCTGGAACTGGAATTATAGGCAATTGTAAACCACTATGTGGGTTCTGAGAATTGAATCTGGGTCCTATTCATGAGCAGCAAGTGCTCATAACCTCTAAGCCATCTCTCCAGCCCAGTGTGCATTTTGTTTATTTTTGTATGTTTAATACTTTTTTTCTGTAACAACATCTCAGGGCTGGAGAAATGGCTCAGTGATGAAAAAGATTGAATATTCTTCTGACCTGGGTTAGATTTCCAGCACCCATGCAGCAGGTCACAAATGTCTGTCACTCCAGTTTCATGAGATCTGGACTCTCTTGTGACCTCTATTGACACTGTATGCATGGGTGTACATAGACAGTCATGCAGGCAAAACAGCAATACACATAAACAACAATTTAAAAATTTAAAAGCAAAGCTCAGTGCTCTGTCATTTTTCAGATCTGAGGGTCATTTCTTCCTATCTTATATTTTCATTCAGAAATTTTTCTTTGCTTTTTTCCGTGTGTGTGTGTGTGTGTGTGTGTGTGTGTGTGTGTTTGTGTGTGTGTGTGTGTGTGTGTGGTGTGTGTGTGTACAGGGTCCCATTTACATATTATCTATATATTTTCTGTCCAGAATCAGTTATGATATTCTACCCAATCAAACACTTCAGCTGGTGCTTTAAAAATCTGAACTGAGGGCAGAGAAGCATCTTCTATCTGGCCCAACATGATAGTTTGAAACCAGTGTTGGTCAGAGGCTGTGATTCCAAACCTGTAGTATGTGACTTTGGGAGGTTCTGAAAGAGTGACCCTGTCTGAGAGAGGAAAGATTGAGAGCCTGAGATGGAATTTCAAACATTCTACTTTTTGGTATTATTTATTCTCATGGCTAACAACAGACTTACCCTTTCATAATTTGGGTTACACAATAACTTTGCCATTTTGCTTAAGCTATTTCAATTTAGTATTTGTTACTTCCACCAAAATAAACATTAAGGGAAAAAAGAAGAATACACCAGCAATCAAATTAAAAGTGAAATCTCCCACATATCTAACTTTATTAGATGTGTAAAAAATCACCTTTTTGACCCACTGTATTTTTAAAGCACCTTCTTTACAGGCAATGTTTTAGTAGCAAAAGGAATAGAAACAAGGTTACGTTTTCAGCCACTTAAAGATTCATTCTGCAAAACTTGCCAGCATACCTTTCATCAATAAGTACTTTCTACAATGCACAATACCCCTAAGCCTTTTTTTTGTTTTTTTTTTTTTCACAAATGCAAAGTAGAAAGGAGCTCAGGAAAGTCTACTTTGTAAAATACACAGATGAAAGAACCACAAATCTAATGAGAGGAATTTTGGTATATTTAGATCTTTAGTGACAATGACCAGACTGCCCCATAAAATGTTCCAGTCACAACTGAAGTATTTATTGGGTGTGTGTACTAGTGTGGCCCTAAATCCATCACTGACCAAAGTAAAAAGGGGATGGGGGCAAATTAGCTTGGAACAAATCACTTCAAGCCACACCCAATTCACTTTGTGTTCACTGAGGTGTGCTTATTTTAATAGCTGATCTGAAAGCATGTGAGATGGATGCCACAGCTGGCCAGAGTCTTAAACAGAAGAGCTCAGGACTTAAAACTAAGCATGCATGCAGCATAGAATAATAATCACTTTAGGCTCCTTGAATTGCTAACCACCAGAAGGCTTCTAATCATGACAGGAAAGTCTAAACAAAAACATATCTAAGAGGGGCTTTTAGACCTCTAGTGTTCAAATTATAAAACAAACACCTAAAGACATTTTAAAAATAGGTCTTATTTGACAAGTTGTGTTCTCATTTCCCGAGGCATTCGGATGGATTTTAACAACGTAATTATTCAGAGCAGTGTGCTGTGACACACACCTATAATACCAGCACTTGGGAGGCTGAGGTAGGCTCCTTATGAGGTAGAGGCCAGCCTGGGTGATATTCAGAGTATTTTTAAAAAGCCAGGGCATCAAAGCAAGACCCTGTCTCAAAAATAAGTAAGTAAATAAAATTTTGTTTTAAAGAGAATGCAGATTGTTGGCCTCAAGTTGTTCAGAAGTAGTGCAAATTTGACCCCAGGGAGAGGGCAATTCTCTGAGCTGTGACAACAGCCAAAGGTTGGTTGGCTAGTCATTAGTCCTGGCCTGGCTCACATACATATCTTCCTAGGAGGTCTGTAGATGAGAAATTTCCATTCCATTCTCTTGAAGAGGGCCAAGGAAAATGTAGAATGAGAATTAACAAAGGAAAAGAATTAATGGGGTGGTGTGCTGTGGGATAATGCTCTTGTACTGAAACTGACAATGTGGTCTGAGAAAGAGACCGGTTGCTCCAACAACTGTTTGATCCTGCTCCAAGCAAGGTTTGCTCATGGGTGGATATGGGAACACACAGAGGGGCCAAAGGCAGTTTTCAGGCACTGAGAGTGAATAGCCTAAGGCACTGCCCAGGCTCCACTCTTCCCTTTCCCGCCCTGCCGGCCCCGCCCCTTGCTTCCCACACCTCCTGGCCCCTCCCCTTCTTCCTTAACCGTGGCGGAGTCCTCCCCACAGCTGCCGACGGTTCGGTTCGCAGCAGCTGCTGACTCCGTTCTCCGGTCCTGGCCCGGCAGTAGCGGAAGGGCGCAGGCGCGGCTTGCGGCTCTCCTAGCGCCTAGTAGCGGAGCGGGACTCTCGGTGAGTGCGGCTGCAGTGCGGGACTCCTCGGAGAGAACGTGGTTGCAGCCCGAGGGGGGCCAGGGCGTGCAGGGAAGGACTTTGACCCGGTTAAGGGAAACTCGTGCAGCTGGGTCGGTGGCGGCGCTGCCCGAGGTTTCTTGGCTCCCGCCGCGTGGGCAGAGGAGTGAGCCGTGGCGGGACTCGGCAAGGTGTGTGGGAGCGGCTGAATTAGAAGAAGGAAGAAGGGAGTGTAGACGCTGGAAGTCCGCACTTGGGCTTGGCCAGGCCGGGAAATTTGCTTGAGGGCCGTGGAGGGTGGCCCAGCTTCAAGTTCGGTCCCCCCCTGCTTGGTGCCCCTGAGCGATGTTCCTGCTTACTCTCGACTCTCGCTCGGCTTTCTCGGGGTGCAGAGTTGCCAGGAATGTGTCCTGTCGCTGGGGAGAGGGTTGGGGGAGGTGGGCTAAGGGCCTGGGCTGTTGTAATAGAGGGTGTGGCGTTCGTTCCTACGACTTTCCTTTCCTCGGGAATGTGCCGCTCTTCTGATGCATTGTGCCTGGACATTTTTAACAAAGGCTATAACTGTTTTGTTGGCAGTGGCGGGTGACAGGGGGTGACGCGCGCGCGTGTACGCGCGCACACGCACACCACACACACGTGTGGTGTGGTGTGTGTGTGTGTGTGTGTGTGTGTGTGAGTGAGTGAGTGTGTGTGTGGTGTGTATGTGTGTGCGCGCGCGCGCAGAAGTCAGTCACGTTGCCGCCCTAGGGGGTGGGGAATATAAGAGGGCCTAGAGTTGGAGGAATGGAGAAACCTAGCAACTTTCCTGCGGAGGCTTTTTTCTTTTTCCTAGTCTGTTGATTTTGAGTAAGAATATCCCCCATAGGAATGTGCCTGGATATTGGTGTGTGTTCATGCTCTGGCTGCAGCCATTTTGTGTGTGTGTGTGTGTGTATGTGTGTGTGATTTTGTTATTCATATACATTTGTAAGAGTTCCAACGGGAGAAAAACATAACTAATGGAATTTGAGAAGAAATAAGTGAATGTGAATTAAAGTGAGAAGAGGTGGAGTGGCAAACCTTAGAGCTAGACGAATCCCTTTGGATAGTCACAGTATAAGGCTAGACTTTGAAAACTATGAAGGTGTACAAATCAGTAACTGAAATTTTAGCTAAAGTAGTGTTCATTGTTTCAATGAAGAGTGTATTCTTAGTGATATAGTGCTGCCAGATTCTTAGGCAGACTCACTTTAGAAACTTTAAAAATGATGTTAAGAATATAAAACATTAGCGAAAGTCTTGGATAAAGGTCTGTATGCTCTCATTTTAATTTTTTTATGAACTTTTATGAAAGATGGTATGTGGTCCCAAGCGCAGATGTTTATATTTTAACTCATTTGTTTTAACTTAATACAACATAATAAACTTAGCTTCCTCCTTCTCCACCCCTTTTTCTTGACTGTGAATCCTATTTTATAAACATTTACTCTCAGATCTGAAATGTTTAAACAGAATTTCTTCATGTTTTCTTGTTATTTTATTTATTCATTTCTTTACTCCAATTATTCAAAGGCCTTTGGTGGTGATATTATCAATCGTGTGAGGGGGATGTTAGGGATTTCTTTTGCCTTTTCCAAGAACCTAGTGAACTCCTATTTATCCTTCCAGACTCATTCTTATTAACTTATTGCGAAAATTTGTCAACTCCCTTAGAAGTAATCATGCTTTATCTGTTTGATAGCACTAGCCTTATTTTCTCTCTTGCTATCCAGATAGCTGCCTTGCATATGGGGAGTGTCCAATAAACTTACTATTATTAATAAACTTACATATTATTAAATGTTATTAGAAAGATAAATCATCCTGGATAGAGTTCATGGAGTAATAGAAGAAATTCTGAACTTTAATGTTTAAGCAACATTTTTGACTATGGATAAGGAGTGAGAACATACGTACATTCTCATGTATCAGTGATAGTTTATCCACTTAAAAGAGGTGTAAAAATCTGTAGGTAAAAAGGAAAATGAGGATCACAAAAATGCACACTTTAAAAGAAAACTAAGCTAGTGAATAGTCAGTATACACACTGGAATGTGTAATTTGTCATTTGCAAAAAGACATGAATAAGGTGCTGCTTGAATTTAGGAAATACTAAAAATGAACACAGCTCACTAGGTACTATTTAGTAAAGGTTAACACATGGATAAAGAAAACTGAAGCCTACATTATATTGTACTCCTGAGTCTTAAGGTGGTTTGAGCCTTTAGCTAATGGGACTTTTGTATACTGTATCCTTAATCAGCTTGGTCTGACTATTTCTGCTAGCTTGTTTTTGACATCTCTCTTAACTCCAACAGTATTACTGACTTTCCAATTACCTCTACTCAGTCTCAACAGTCCTGTCCCCAACTTTCATTTCCTGAATGGATTTACTCATTGCCAAGAGTATCCTAAGCAAATACTGGCTTTCAAAGAATGAATTTATTCTTTTGTTTAAAAATGACTCAGGATATGGCAACTTGATTGATCCAGAGTCTATGCCTGAAAAGCAGAGAACTTGTCCTAGTCATTAGTAACCCCTGTTTTTCTTCCCTTACTTAACTTCTCCCCGTCCACGTAAATGTAAAGTTGTTTTTTTTTTATGTGAATTTTAAAATAGTCACCCTCCTTAAAATAGTGCTTCACGTGTTTGATATTTATGAGTAAAGTTTGAGATGCAGAAAGGCTGAGTACTCCATGAATATTTTTATTTAAAAAATTCTACATATTTTCGGATTCATGCACACATTTATTGAAAAAAATTGATACCAAACTACTTTGATTACTTTATACTTTTCTCCCTTGAATTTTCCTCATCCAGACTTCCTCCTTGTGTCTCTGGTGTTTTCCTGTGTTTCTATAGCTAAACAACCGAGTGTGCGTAAAACTGGGGTTGTCATATCATGTGAGGGTGGAAAGGACACAACCAAGGGAAGACACTTGTATTTAATAACCAAAGAGGCTCGCGCTCTCTCTCTCTCTCTCTCTCTCTCTCTCTCTCTCTCTCTCTCTCTCTCTCTCAAACTTTTTTCCTTTTTTTGGTTTATGTGCAGAGGATTGACTTAATTATATTCTTCAGTTGGTGAACTATTATTATTCTTAGGACTAGAAAGACATTGCAGGTATTTGGAGTATTAGTTTTTAATTTGGCATATGTATAATACTCTGCTGTTAGGAAGCTCTTTCAACAAACATGTTTATATTTATTATCTTTCCTTCATATAAACACATCAAATTAGTAATAAGGATGTAGAAACTAAAACAACAACAAAACAAAGGAAAACCTTGGGAGATTTTTGAGGTCCACTCTGTTTCAGAAATACTTTTGAGTAATGGAAGTCAGGGTGTGGAGACAGTGAAAATAGACTACTTTTGTGTGTAAATTATTGACAAAAGAAGTTAAGACAAACATTACAGTTTGAGGATTTTAAAGAGTTCAATACAATGGGAATGCACCAAAGACAATTAAAAAGCCTGTTAGAGTGCAGGAGTGGCTGAAGGTGTAATGCTCGAAGATATTAATGGAATAGAGTACTAGAGAATGGAACCTGGAGCAGTGAGAATAGGCACACTGAGAGAAGAGAAAAGAATGAATTAAAACATAAGTTTAAAAGCAGAGATGGATGAAGCTGACAGTATTCTTTTTGTGTGTTTTATTAAGTGATGAATAGTATTTCTCAGTAAATCTATTTGAGATTCGTATTTAATATCCAGGTAAAGTTTGTAGGTGTTTCTGAATAGAAAACTCTAGGAATAAATCAAATCATAAGTGCAGAGGTTATTAATTTTTTAATCAGTGTGTTCTATTTTTAGAGAAGTTTCAGGTTAACAGGGAAATTAAGTAGGAAATAGAGTTCTTATATACCTCCTGTATTTCCTGTACTAGGATAACAAATATACAGTGGTACCATTGTTTCAGCTGATAAATTTACACTGACACACCATTATTACCTAAGGTGTATTGTTTACATAGGCTTTTCTCTTTGAGTTGAACATTCTATAGGTTTGGACAAAATTATAATGATTTGCATTCACCATTGTCATATCATACAGATAACTGGACTGCCCTACAAATCCTCTTTGCTTCATCTGTATAGCAGGCATTCTTGGTTGCCAGCTCCCAAATCATGACATAGACACTTACTACTAATTATGAATGCTTGGCACATTTACCTCATCTACATACTGTCCATCCTGCTTTCCTGCTTCCTCTGTGTCTAGCTGGCTGCCCCCACCCAGGGGGCCCTCCTTTTCTCTGCACCCACCAGCCCCACCTATCCCTCCTGCCTAGCTATTGGCCATTCAGCTTTTTATTAAACCAATCAGGTACCTTAGGCAGGCAAGGTAAAACAGCAACACATCTTTATATAATTAAACACATTCAGCATCACAAAAGCCACACACCTTTACATAATTAAACAAATACACTTTTGCATAGTTAAACAAATATCCTATTCCACAACACATCTGTTTATCACTTACCTCTTTAACCTCTAGTAACTATTGATCCTTCCACTATTCCCACACATTCACCTTGTGCAAAATACTGTATACTTAGGATCATACAATATGTAGGTCCCCCCATTCCTTTCATTTAGTAATGTGCATTTAAACTTCCTACATGTCTTCCTGTGGTTTGATATCTTATTTATCTTAAGTGCTGGGTAATAACACCTCACCTGACTATGCCACAGTTTATCTATTTACCTTCTAAGAAACTATTCTTTGTCACTTCTACGTTTTAACAATAGTAAATAAAGCTATTGTAAACACCAGTATTCTGTAACCTCCCCCACTCTTCCCACGCCATATCTTCCCAACTCCTTTGAGTAAATACCAAGGAGTATGAGAGCTGTATTCTATATTAAGAATAAGTTTGGTTTTGCTAGAAGCTGACAACATACACAGTGACTGTACTGCTTTTTTCAGTTGCACTGGTAGCAAATGAGAGGCCTGTTCTTCATTCTTAACAACATTTGGTA